GGTACCTCGGAAACTTCCAAAGGGGTCGACAACGCGTATGAAGAAAAACAAATTAATAACTATTGTTACACGGCGTGCTGTCAAAAAGTTTTAAAGCTCTCCCAGAGTATACACTAGTGAAATAAAACGGAACACCATCAACTCGCATGGGAAGTTTTAACTTGACTTTTCGGTAACCGCAAGTCAGAGTTTTCCCAGCCGAGTGCTGCGTTTATTTGCAAAAGGGTAACCCAAACTATAACTGTAAGTATATATATATATATCCAAAAAGGTCGGGTTAGAGTTACAGTTGGCGAGTAGAATGGATTGAGCTTACACAAATCCCGGAAAATGAAATATAAAGTTCACTCTTCAACATCTGTCTACAAAACCGGTACAAGACCGGTATTCTTTTTTAGAATTTAAATTTAAAAAAAATTATTAAACCAAAATATTGTGAAATAAAATAACGTTATGTTAAAAATAAGAAATAGTGTACATTTTACAAAAAAAAAAAAAGTAAAACTAACGATATTTTTATAATTTCGTCGTTAATTAATAATTGAATAAATTGTATTTTGTTAAAGAAACGAAATAATTGTTTATTTAAATATATAATTAATTAATTACTAGAAATTAACATTATAATATTATATTATGAGAATTGCAAACAGTTGTATTGGTCCTGCAAACAGGACTAATCATACGGTAGGTTTATATTTGAACCAAGTTTATGTTAAGATTGTAAAGTTGGACGTATTCCAAACCCTTCTGTCTGAGAGTATAAAATCTGAAAATTTAGGCGTTTTGAAAGGGACTTACTTGGAGTATTTTAAAAGTTTTCAAGTACCCCTTCCCCCTCTTAAAAGAATCGATGAGTATTTCAGAGCTTTTTTATTAATCCCATTGTGTATACATAGATGACACGGTGGTTGATTTCAAAGTCGTTTAATATGTTATAATATTTAAATGGGTGCGTCGGTTAGGAATTCGGTTAAGCCAACGAACGCTTAAGGAAGATCTTTTCGGGGAAACGTTAAGAATTCCTATCCTAATAAGATAACGTCGCTCGACATATTAGGTATAATATGAGGATTTCGCACTAACCTCGGATAACGGTGGACGCCGACATTTCCCAAGACTTCTATAGACATGTTATCCGATCATATATATCTGTTTCTTTGTGTCCCAGTCTAATACCTAGTATGATGATATAAATTACAGGTTAATTGCGACGGTGGGTGAGCTTCCTGTGTGCTGTAGAAGGTACACTGCAGTGGTGTTGTAGTATTTTAAAGTTTAAACGGTTAGGTTTGGCCGACGCGCTACAACTGTGCGTTACCATTTGGTCACAAACTAGATTTATTGTCTTAATAATTATTATTGGCTTATCTCCTTTGGTGGGTCGTTGAAGATAACTTGAGTTTACCTATATACCTAATATCGGCGCACTTGAAACCGACCGAGATAATCGAACGGCAGAGACTATAGCTGTATACCGACCTTCGATAGTATGAACATAGGAAAACAGTACCTACCTATAATATTATTATTCAAAACGGCTAGACAAACTGTAACAGTTAATTTTTGAAACAATATAATTTTGTTTTTAATTTTAAGTATAACGTTATCGTCGACAAAACAACAATGGTATTGAAAATCCGACCAATAACCTTCGGGTGAACGCCGATAAACGTTCGTCCTATATACTTATAATATGCACATAATGCTCATAACTGTTATTTACCTACTCAAAATCTATTATAATATGATAAAAACACAACAATATGCGTGCATGATCGAAACCATCGAATCGTTTGTCGCAAGTACTCGAAATCATCAACACAATAGGCAGGTACAATATTAAACCTACAAAAAAAAAAATTAACAAATGATTAGAACGTGATACTGTAGAAATTTACTTTTGAATTTTCATCACATCGTTTAAAAACTCAAGTTATAGGTTAAGTTTCCCGGAAAGGATTGTTAAAGTGGGCCAACTATTTGTGTTTTGTTTTTTTCTAAGAAAATTAATTTTATATATACTTTGAAAAAACTTAGCGAAATTAAAATATAAACGCTCTTTTTGTTTTCCATTAAAGGACTTATTAAAAAGCGGCTTCGAGAGTTTTTCTTTTTCAATAACACCATTTTCCAAGACAATTATTTTACAAAATTTTAAATTATTAAGTAACCGTCATTTTCCAGAAGTATATTTTATCTGTTACCACAGGAAAAAACGGTAATGATTTCCAAGATCATTTTTCATAATTTCAGTATTGGTTCTTAAGTTCTTTATAATATTATAATTTTGTTATTACAAAAATGTCGACGTTTATGAAAAAAATAGTAATATAATAAAATCACTGAATGACCTTTCAAATATTTGTTGATTTTGCCACAGTATTTTTTTAAGTATATTTTAAGTTCCTATTTCCTATAAAGGATTCGTGCGGACGTTTTCTACATTATATTTATAATGTTTCAACCATTTTGTATGCCTCTAAGTGCTAAATATCAATGTTAATCAAACACAAATACTTAGAAACGACCAATGGAATGCTATATGTATTTTAATGTTCACTCAGTTATTTTCAAAGCTGGGCAAGTATCAAAGTTACAATAAAAAAATTGTTTAGTGGTTATGCCACAAAATAATATGTTTTTCTAAAATACATTTATTCGAAATAGTATTTGTTAATTATTATAATTATTTTATTTTGTTAAGTTATCTTACGATTAAACCGAATCGCCGGCATTCAGTATCTTACCCATCTCTGATAAGTTTTATAATTTTTTATTTTTTTTGAGAATATTTTAACAAATCTTTAAATGTTTAATCCGCCGAATTTGCAATAAACCGTTAAAATAATCATTACAAGTTTTGGATTTATCTTTTAGATCAAATAAGTATGAAGTGAGTTTACAATACATTTTATTATTGTATATTATTATTAATATTGAATTACACTTTTCATGTCCTTTCTTCCTTCCAAAATAAAAATATGCGAGGAATCTTTTCAGATTTCTAAAATCAAATCTGTTTTCTATGGAAACGATGAGCGTTTAAAGAGTCAAATCTGATAACTGTAAAACAAGTGAAGTATCCCATTTGATCATTTTTTTATTTTTATCTCACTTCAATACAATATCGGCTACATATTAGGGCTTCCGATTACACTGTGTCCACATAATAATTATTACTATATTATGTGCGTTACAATTTAATTAGTTGTACTTGTATAATATATTTTAAACACTTGTGACATATTTTAATAGGCGCACAGATAAAATAAACGTGCATTTAATTTAATCACAATAGCTCAGGTTAGATTTATACGTGATCGAGTGTATGTAATTTTGTTCGACGACCGAATAATTAGCCACAACCTGATGTATATATTCATATTTTCTATCAATTAATCATTTCTTTTTTTTTTTTGTGCAAAGGTAGTTAGGTTGGCACACGGGCCAATTTTTGTTTGTAATCGTTTTGAATGATAACATGTATTATATAGTGATCCAACCGATGAATGGTGTCGATTGTTTGCTCGGTTTCTTTCATTAAATTAACGGTAATTGATAATAATTTTTTTACACACATCCGGAGCCATCGATACCTATACGTCGCAGTGTTCGCACAGTATAGATCATATATCGGATTACATTGCGGTGGTCTGGCAATTAAAAAAGAAAAATGGCAGATAAGACTGCTACAACGCACCGCGAATTGCACTTCCGGCTGCTCTCGGCCATAGGCTTTCATACAAACGGTATATTGTATCGCGGAATTCCGCATTTTTCGCCTCCGACCAAGATAATACGGCCAATATATATATATATATAATATATAGTAGGTACTTCTAGATTTACTTTGGTATAAGTTATGTCATTTCCCTCTCCCCCTTAAAATAAAATAACACAATACAACAGCAAAAACGGTAGCAAACGAGTTGGTACCTATACCGTTTGAAACGTCTGAAATTATTAAAAAATAAATCATTTCCGTGACAATATCGAAATGATAAATTATTATTAGTGTCCATACCGCGCAATAGTATAAATTTTATTGACAAAATATATATATATATATATTTATATTTAAGTGTTTGACGCGTGTAAGCGCCTACGCGTTAAAATGTAATCGTGTACGTGTGACGTTATTATGTTATTATTATATTGTGTATAAGTAGGCGGCGAAAAAAGTAAAAACAATTCAGGGGTTTAAAAAAAAAAATAATAAAAAACCACTCTGCAACAATTAGGTAACGTACACCGGAGAGAGATTTAGTTAATGCAGAAAAAGTAAAAAAAAAAACATAAAAAAGAAAAGAAATAACAATCTCAATGAGGCATTTACTTTTTTACAATCAAGACGCCAAATCCAAATGCATCAGCCCAAGCGAGCCTTATTGTCCTCGACCAAAGGCCGGATTTCCCAAAAGTCCAACCGAGTTATAGCTAAGGGGCGTTTGGAATTTGGTTTGTTTAACAAAATATGAATAACCATTGTACCGCTATAGTGTGATAAACATTTGAGCAAACGTTGTTTGTATCTATTAACGCACTGAAGTTACTGTAAGTAGAATAACACAACAAAACGGACAAATCCATAATCTCGAAGAACTTTATTCCTTGTCAAGCACGGTAGCTCAATTGAAATCCCTTAAAAAAAAAATGCATGTGGGCTGAAAGTCGTTAGTAAACATTCACCGCTCGAAGGTAGATCAACTAATCGAAAGCTTAAGACAAAGGAGATATAAGATCAATATATAGGTTTTATAGATTATTAGCTGTTTAGTTCGCACTCGGTTAGGTAAGCAACGGATAAAACGTGCAAGGTCGGACGCCCCATCGTTGGGGGGGGGGTATATATTTTTTGACTGGCGACCTTTTGGAAACGGTTAGGCTGTGCAAACCCAATTGGTTTTTATTTTTGAGAGGATGGGGGAGGGTTTTGTAAATTTGGACTCTTTTGGACTTTAGGTAGGTACCTTATACATTATACAAACTGTACTCACCCGTCACAGTCGACAGCTGCCTTTAGGCGTCGTTCGGGTGTCGGCGTTTGCAAAAGGACTGACGGGTCCAAGTCCGACGGCGCCCGCTTTGATACCGATGGCCGAGTGACCGCGCGACATGGACTACCCGCAACCGCGAGTAAAGTGGCCAAAACCGAAACGGGCGAGGCTCTAAGCGGTTATAGCCTTTTTCTTTTTGCGTTCCTTTAACACTTACGAGACACACACACAAACACACGCGCCCGCGCAGACGGCCAAACGCGATTCCGCCGGGGTCACGGCTGAGAGTGTTTGAATACTATGAATTTTCGTTGTAAATACAAAATTTTGTTTTGGGGGATCGTTCCCGGCGGTGTTGTTGTTGTTGGCTGTAATAAGTGTGTATATGACGATAGTCACGCTGATGATGCCGCGCTCGCGTACACCGACAATTAATTCTCCGGGGCCGTCCACTGCACACTGCCGGGCGGTTAACGCTCTGCGCTACCGTCGGCCGGCCGATTCCGAAAACTATCTATCTCTCTCTCTCTCTCTCTCTCACACACACTCTACCCATCGCCCTCTCCCCGACTATCTCTCCGTCTTGGAGAACGGGAGCCGTGCACGACGGATGGGCGGTACTCCGGGCCGTGGCGGACGGGAGAGGCGCAGCCGTTCACCTGGGAAGCCGCCGCAACCCTGCGCCTGTCCGCGGAGGGGCGCCGGCGTTCATCCCACGGGCGGCAGCGCCAATCGAGTCGACCACCTGACCACGCCCAGGGTACGTACATACCGTCCGCGCGCCGTTATGGACATAAATAACAGTGGAAAAAAACTATAAAAAAATACCCGCCATATATATATATATATGAGTACGCATGGCACAGCCGCCGACGTCGCAGCATCCCGGGCATATTCCCAGACCGCGTATATATATATATATATATATGTATAAAATAATTGTATACATATATTATTATATAAAGACAAATAAAAAAGGCAAAAAAAAAAAAAATAAGAATAATAATAATACCCCTCGTCGTCGTCTCCGTCTCACAATTATTATTATTATTATTATATGTATTATCGTAACGTTGCCGGTTGCTGCAAACGTTGACGACGATTATTTACAGTATAAATTATTATATATTTTTTTACTACTCGGCGAAAATATATTACAATAAAAAAAAAGTGTTGCGCTAAAAAATTCAAATAATAATAATAAATGGTGGTCGTATTTTTTTTTGCTATGGCCTATGAGATAAATGATAATGCGCGTCAACGATAGTAATAATAACGATAATTGTAATTATATTTGTACGCCAGGTAAACGACCGTATATATAATACTGGACAAAAAAAAATTAAATGCCCTGAAACGTGCGATAAATAGTATCTATACATATTTTTTTAGAATAAAATAATTTTAGTGTAAGCAGATTCTTTAAAGATATCACTTTTTTCCCTAAGAAATAAAATTAAATGATGAGAATCTAACGGATTCTAGGTATTATTTTTTATAAAAATCTTACAAGACAGTGAAATAAGTACAAATTAATGTATATTTTCCAATTTATATGTTATTCTAATGGCTATTATGATGTTCCTTAGTTTTTTTGGCAATATCTCCTCGAAATTTGAGAAATAATAATAATAATTGTTGTTGAGAAATCTCAAAAATATTGTGGTATCTTAAACATTTGAAAACATTTGACGATGACCTTTTGTAACAGAACGTTATTCGAGACGATACTAGCTAATTTTATTTTTTATTACTATGATAAACCATAAAAGAATCACTGCAGTCTGAGTTGAGCATTTTTTTAGATAACATTTTTTAAATTTTCTAATAAAACTAATTAATAATAATTAATTAACATTTAGATAGTTTATAGTTGATGTGGTGGAGTCAAAAGAGTATAATTCATTTTTATAACTCTTCTTCTTGAGAGCAAAATAAAAACTTTATTTTCAAATGTTAACGTACTCTTGTGATTAATTGGTATTAATTGACTCTTGGTATTAATTGATTGGTGGTATTGGTTTAATATCTCGTATTGGTAATGTACATAGGTATATTTCAAATTCGGCCATTCAGTTAATTAAATATGTTAAGTACTTGAACCTATTACCAGCACACCAAAATCTCGTCAAAACTAATTAATGTTAATTTTGTTCACTTAAATGGAACGTTAGTTTTGTTGTTTTATCTAGATCAAGATTTAATATCTTGATCTTAATCCGGATACAGCTGTTATATTAAATCACGGTTTAATCTTATCTTATTATCAAGATAATCAAATAATGGTTACCTAATTAAAAAAAATGATTAAAACTTGAGTGGGGTATTGTATTTACACTATTTACACAACTTGCGGATACTCCCACTTGAGTAGCTTGACTTATCTGCCTTATGGCAGACAAGTCAAGCTACTCAAGAGCTGTGCAAATAGTGTAGTTACTTACTATCTTGTGGGTTAGACATACCTACCTATATTGATAACAGATAAAAAGAAGTTTTGTGGATTTTTGACAAATAGTTTTTTGGTCAGAATCTAGTATTTTTTATATATATAGAAAATGCTATACTTATAACTTTTTGTTTTTTAACATTTTAATTCGTCTATATTGACTTGTTAAAAAAAGTGGTAAAATAATAATTAAAACTTATATACTTGAACAAATTTTTTTTTTTTTTTTTAGTGTAAGCCACTCTAAGCCCGTGAGTATGAATAATATATTGGCGGAGTACGTTTGTAATCCGTCTTTGTAAACACAACATCAATTGCTATTAACAATCTAGATATGAGCTGTAGGTACATATTGTAATTTAAAAAAAAAAATTTTTAATTATCATTTTCATATGAAAAGAAAAATATAATATTTGTATGTTTTTCCAAAGTAATCCTAGTCAGTACATATAAGCTCAAGGAGCTCATGAAAATATAATCTGGTATTAAATATCGCTATTTCCTAGATCTATATTATGCTTCCTATAGAATAACTATTACATTTATAAATTAAACAAATACACATTATTTTATCAATTTTATATCTTATGCCGCTTACAATTATTTTGCATATTTCCTTCGGGTATAGTTAACTAAAATGTAATTAGATATTTGTGTTAAGACTCATTTAAGTATAATATACTTTTTTTGCCAAATATTATATTTGAAATTAACAGCACCTGAATTATAAAAATAACCTACTTTAGTTATGCAAATACACACTTAATCTGAGATTACTAACGAACCATCTAATTGGAAATGTTTTTTTTTATGTATAGCGACAAAGTAGCAATCTCTCTCATTTATTGATTGGAGTGGGGGAAGGCAAGGTAAAGACTTCGAATAGGGGGCACAAACTATAGGTATACTGTTTTAAAACGGACACCACTAATTATAGTCACCAGTCACCAAGTAAGTGCCATAATAAGCCAAAGGAAAAATTATACTATTTAATATAAAACTCAGAACCCGTTAAAGTGTGTACCTATAGGTACATTTAAGATTTTCATTATATTTTTGTCAGTAGGGATACAAAATAAGCTGATAGTAGGTCGAATGTATTGTACCCAACTATAAGGCTTGAATATACGTTTGCACGGTTTACTTATCAATATACACCCAAAGTCGTCAATTATTCTGAATTTTTCCAATTGTTACCTACAAAGTAGCATTACGCATGTCTTAGGCAAGAAGGTATATATATAGAAGCTATATAGGTTTTATATAAAAAATTAAAACACATTCTTACATATTATATAGTGGAAACCGTTGGCCACGCGTTCATTTATTATTAAACGACTGCGTGTAATCTCAGGAAACATCCAATACACACACATACAATCCAATGCTACACTTACTGTGGTTACCTTGGAAACAGACAAAAAAAAATGGGGACGGGTACAGCGAGGTACATGTTGACGCAGACACACGAGTGGCGAAGTGTGGGATTCTGCACGCGGTGTAAGTACACAACAATAGCAGTCAAAGCTGCATTAAAAATACATAGTGTACGTGTGTATTATAAAAGCGCACTTAAAAATACTTTTACTGCAATCGCATTACCTACACAAGGTTAACAAGTGAAATTCGTCCCACGCGACGACATGGCGTTACAAATGTTCGAAAATAATAATAATATTTTAACACGTAAAGTGTTAAAGTTCAAAGTAAAACAAATTTTTGATCATTTTTCTCACACTACAAATAAATATACATATGTATAAAAAAAAAACGACATAGATTCACCCTCTCCACCCCACCTGATAGAATGTCTATAATATTGAAGACTTAAGTGCGTTAATAGGGTCGTTGTTGTTTTTTTTTTTTGTTAATTTTGCTCCACAAATATAATAAGAAACAGACATAATATAAGGACTTGGGTACAAGTACTATTTGGAATAACAATAATAAGAAAAAAAACGTTTAAAATCAACAAGAACATTCCCAATTGCTTTCGGTTGTTTTTTTTTTTTATTATTATTATTAGCGTATTATTATTTTATATTGTTAAACCGCAAAACGCTTAAACAAACATGGAACGAGTTCGCTCGCTGTAATAATAATACCGATTGTTCACGGGACGAATAAGCCGAGAGATGTGAAAGAATTCTGTCGAGGCGCAGGCGGTGAAATTATATTAAAAAATATAAAAAAATCGCGCAAAAGGTATACGGCCAAAGAAAGGTAAGTATATGTTTTTTTTTTAAGAGGACGCGAGCTCCCCCGGTGTACGGCTGGCAATGCATTTTGTTGAAACCCCAATGGAAAGAGCCCACGGGCCTACCTTTTAAGAAAATCCCAAGTTATGCGATGCTCGTCTAAATAAAAAAACCTTTTCCATTTATACGATGAGCACAATTCAAAAACGAAATACATTATACCGACCAACAGCGTGTACTTACTATAATATTGTATTATATATACAAAGCACTGCTCTTAATATAATAATACAAGGTAAGTATGGCCTAAAGGTAAATTATGCATTATTCAAGTGATTAAGTCGAAGTACTTTCGTATGAAACTTGTTACTACTTACGGCTTACCGTCTACCGACAATCGTTGAAACGACAAACTTTACCGAACACCGATGGTTTAGATTGGTGACTCGTTTAGGCGCATCTATTTGGATGGGTAATAACATAATTAGCCGTTATCTTATCGACATAGCTTTTGCTTTAATCACTTAAAGTTTTATCCGGGAAAATAACTCTTATATCTATAACTATCTACTTGTCTAAATGGAAAATATTTTCATACAATTCAACACAAACAAAATTATCATATTATTCACACGACCAGTTGATATAATAATTTCTTTGTTTTGTTATAAACATTACTTTATTTGTGTACTTTTAAACACACTATAATTATTATACTTCATATTAATTTTTAGTAAGTATTATACTAAAAATATCCAGGAAATAGGAATGGGGACTTTGTTTCCAACAAGCAACACAAT